GGGGGGGGGGGTTGAACCCGGAAACCCCCTTTTGTATGTACGCCACTATACGTATATACTGATAATAGTAGAGTACAGCGGTTCTCAAATTTTTTTTTCCGCGGTGCCTTTTTTTAGACTTAATTTAGCCACGGTGCCCTGCTGTGAATAACATGAAAGACAGGACAAAAAAAAAATACTCATTGATAACTAATTTTATTAATTTTATTAAAATTTAACTTAATTATAAATTAATGAATTTTTAAACTTAACAATTAAATAAATAAAAATTGTTGTTATCATTATTATAATTATTGTATAAAAATATTATAAGGTTAAAATGAGAATGTCCGAATAAACAATAGAAAATATTTCATTATTTGCTATAAAGTTTTTATGAAAACAATAAGGGAAAAAATATCTAAACATTTTAATTTATTTTTTATGAACCGTAGACCACGGTGCCCTTAGAAAGTGCTCGCGGTGCCCCTATGGCACTGCGGTGCACAGTTTGGGAACCGCTGGTATAGTATATTATACTCGTACATATCATACAATAGTAATACACAATAAGTACAATGAATTAATGAAATATAAAAATGAGCTGCGAATAATATTGTATATTTTGTATATTTTATAATAAAATGTTTAAAATCAAAAACAGACTTTTGAATGATATTTTAACTACAAGACTATATAAATAATTTAGGTTTTTTATACTAATTATAAATTATTAAGTTGCAAATTTATTGTATATTTTATATACTACAGTAATTATTTATTCTCGACCTCTTTTTCCATCAATAATGTAAACTAAATGTAGAACTTATTTTATTCAAATCAAATAAACATTATGAATATACTATGCCATTCAGTCTTGTATGTGTTAATATCTTCATTTCAAGAATACAATATAAGTCCAAGTGTAGTTTTTTCATTTCTAATACGTTATTGTAAGTATAAAATATCCATGAAACATAGAAAACCGACTATATAGCTACACTAATCATATTTTTTATTAACTAACATATAAAAAATATAATTAGAAAATATATTAAGTAATATATTTAATAATTAATTAGGGTAATAATAGAAATAAAATAATAGTAAATTATTTTATTGAGCATTCTAAATTATATATTATATAATTATATGAATTTGTGTTTGATGTAAGGAATAAAACTGAATCTTTTAATTTTAATAAATTTGTTTTTAAAGTCATACATCAAGTATTCATTTTTATAGCAATTCAATATTATTAAATTTCAATCTTTTATTTTTACATTTAAAATTTTAATAATAAATTTTGTTTGCGCAGTGAAGTTAGTTTATATAGAACTTATGCAGTTTTAATTCAAAAACACTTAATGCTAGACTAATAAATTTAACGAAAACTACCTAAATTAAGACTGGTAGAAGACCAAAAAAAAAAAAAAAAATAAAAATTTACTTTCAACAAGTTTCCAGCTTACTCAATACATTATTCACAATTTAACTGTTAATGAAACCAAATAAAGGTCTATTTAAAATGAATATTTGTATTATTTAGAGTTTATTTTTAATAGCAATAGTACAAGTATCTACATATTAAAATTAAAAAAAAAAAATGGTTGGAACAATTTTTTATCAAGTATTATTTTAAAAGATATTAGTCGAACTTTCAAATTCCAAGAATTCATTCACTAGTACTTGAAGTTTCGTCCAAATCTTTAATTATATTTTTATTTTTGTAATATTAAGTAGAATACTGTATAAAAAACCTTACGAGTTTTAGGGTGTTTAAATATTTTCCCTGTTTATAAGATCACATTCTGTAGTTTAAAATTTGGTTTTATTAGAACTACGAAATCGATTTTTAAACATTGATATGACAGTGGATTTTTATATGATAATATGATTATTGACAATATAGTTAGAAAAAATATGGGCGTTCATTGATTAAGTTTTTGAGAGAAGGGGTGTACGGGCGGTACTCCTTTCGCCCAAAAATGACCTTCTTCTTTTTGTCCACGTCCTCTTTTCGACCAAAAATGAAAAAACAGTTTCCTCTTTTCGCCCATGGTTTCACGTTTTACATCTTGGAAACCACTGTCTCAAAATTAATAATTTTTAAAAAAAATCATATAATAATTAAATAAAAAAATAGAAAAATATATAATTATTAATAAAAATTAATAACAATTTAATAAGTGTTAAATAATAAGTATTTAAAATAGTGTTATCGACGTAAAATAACTAATAAGTAATTTGATCAGGTTACTACTTAAATAAATAGTTTGTTTTGTTGTTGTAAAATAATACAAATATTCATATTAATTATGACTTTTTAGTAATTATAACGTTTATTAAAGTGTTTAAACTATATATTTCGATAGAAGAGTTGGCACCTTTATACACTTTTCTCGACTGACTATATTAATAACAATAAAAAACGTGATTTTATCGAATATCAAATATGATTTTTTAAAAATTATTAATTTTGAGAAAGTGGTTTCCAAAATGTAAAACGTGAAACCATGGGCGAAAAGAGGAGACTGTTTTTTCATTTTTGGTCTAAAAGAGGACGTGGGCAAAAAGAGGAAGGTCATTTTTGGGCGAAAAGAGTTCCGCCCGAGGTGTACATAAACGAAATTGTGTATTTTAATACTTATTTAATTAAATCATATCTTAATATTTGTTAAATTACAAGTTCGTATGTTTTCAGATTACGAAGTGTGTTTGTTTCCAGTCCCACAATAGACACTCACGAGTAAAGACTGATGATTTAAATACTAAAATAAACATCATGTTACATTTTATGAATTTTATTATGAATTATTATTTTTATTATGAACTTTATTGAATTATTTTCAATATTCGTTTGAAGGTATGTGCATCTAAATGAAAAGTATGTTATTTAAGTATAATATATATATAAATAATGTAGGTCGTGATGTATACGTGTAAGTCATTGCAATAATCGATGGGCAAAATCGTCCAAGATCCAAAACTTTTCGAAAGTCAAGTGTTTGAGGTACAGTTATTTCGATGAACTCAAAATCATACGTTACGAATATAACAAGTTGAATAAAAATATCACGTACTTCCAAAATATCAGTTACCCGAATGGAACCATATATCCATAATATCGTAAATGAATCGATTGATAGAACAAAGTGTTGTTTTTATTTTGTTTCACGGCAGTATAGGTACATGATTTGTATACTGTTCATACATACGCTTGCCCACTCACACACATCCATACACATACGCACGCACAACAAATATTTATGTGCGCGAGAATATAGACATTAGTATTTTATTTGGTACACTACAGTAGCGTAATTGGCAGTAGGCAAGTAGTCGGCAAGCATGCAACTATGATGGTACCTAGCTTACCTCACAAGCATTTGCCTAAGCGTGGTCTCGTCGTCACTGCTGTCGCTTTGGTCGGCCTTGGTCGAGCCGCGCTCGGACGCTTGCCGCGATGCAAATTGTCTTCTCGCCACGCCCACATACCGGTCGCTGATTACTTCGCCCTGGTCGCTGACCAGCACGCCAGCTACCAGGCCCCCGTCGCCACCACGAACGCTATCAACACCACCGTCACCGCTGTCACTGCACGGGGGGCTGCTGCTATTGATGGGCGCACCACCACCGCCGCCGCCGCCACCGCCGCCGTCACCGCGGCTTCCAGCGTCGTTGCCGTCTCCACCGCCGCTGTCGTAAACACCGCCTCCGCCTCCACAAACTCTGCCACTGCTGCTCGACACTTTCATACAACGAATCCACGGCGGGCGGTGCCGTCGCACGGCGCTCCACCAGACCGGCCCGCGGCGTGCAGCGGCGATACCACGTGCCGGCTGCTATTAGTTCTCACACCAACCGTCGACACCAACACCTGAATAGCCGATATCACATACACATACACCACTAAGCTTTGTATTTACGCAATTACATATTCAAATGTTATGCTCTGAACGGTGGAAGTGGTATTGTGGTAGTACGGTAGAGATGGCAGTAATAAAGGAATATTGCAGTAGTAGTACTCGTAATAGTAGTCGGAGTAGTTATAGTTATAATGAAATACCTATAAAAGCTATAGTGTACACATGTTACTAATTGCATGTATTATTGTGTTATCGTATTTTTAATTTTGACAATGGCTTATTATGTGAATAAAACGACAGAGTGGAGGTGTGTATTTGTGGAAAGGAATACATAGATTCAAAAAGGTATAAAATATATTTACTCAGTACAAATAGTTTTAATCATAACAGCACGAGAAAACCAAAGTGTAAAACAAGACTCACTAAACGTTCGATGAGTTAATCTTTAGAGAATGCTCTTATGAGATACAGAGTGATTACGAGGTGAGAACAGAGATGTTCGAGATATGTGTGTTGGTGGTATGTGTTATATGACGCGCAGTTTTCTTTCTGGGGAATATTCCCACGTGTTTGACGCATAGAGTAAAGAATATTTGACGTTTCGTCTCACTTAGAAGAATTTTACTGTAGTGGATACCATAGGCGTATTGCTGACAGGGGAGGGACAGTATATATATATATATATATATATATATATAGGTATATGAATATGTATACATAAATATAGATGTATAAGTTTTGCTCCATATTAATTATTCAATTATATTATAGGTTGTATAAATATATTATTTTGGTTATTAGTCAGTTCAATTAGTTTTAACGACGGAAGTATTTATATTTCCATACAGGTATATCATTAGTTCTAACACAAATGATAATTGAAATTTCACAGGATATCTGTATTTCAATAATATAATACTTGTACAGAAGAAGAAAATAAAACACATGATTTACAATTTCTAAACGAAAATTGATCATTTAGCCCTTCATAGTACCCAGAGCCGTGTCAAACATTTCAGCGCTCCGGGGCAAAATTTTTTCTACGGGGCCACTGGGCACAGGTAGCATATTAAGTGCAGATAAGGGCGCCCCCTTATTTTAAAAAAACTACGGCGCCCAGGGGCAATTGCTCCCTTTGACCCCTCCTTAACACGGTCCTGTTAGTACCATTTTTCTCTCAGGAGGAATGGTACTCTGAAGGGCTAAATGATCAATCTTCGTTTAGAAATTGTAAACGATATGTTTTATTATCTTCTTTTGTTCAAGTATTATATTATTAAAATACAGATATCCTGTGAAATTTTAATTATTATTTATGTTTAAACTAATGAAACTAATCTATAGTATCAGTACCATCGTTGACAGAAGAACCAGAGGTTAGTTAGTTGTCACGGAGAGGTTGGCGACAAAGTACGTTAGTGTAAGGTGATCGATGTATACAATTGATTAATCAGGATATCAAAACACCTGTCATTACGGGCTATAATAGAATACATGCACGTTTTCCTAGGAACGTGTTTTTTGCGTCGTGTATGACGTAATACGCTTAACGCAGTACGTCATCCACTTATTCTTTTGAAATTAATCACACTGTTTTTCTTCAGAGCGCAACACGTTCTATGTCAACGCAATAAGCTCGGCGCGATTCACTGACTGGCGACGTTTTATAAATGGTTGTTTTGTTTTTTTTTTTTTTTTAATTTGCTATTTTTTCGAACATATATGAAACTAAATTATAGTGTTAATATATTATTATTAATATAAAAGTGTTTTTAAGTAATAATATTAAAAAAAACAGTTCTGTTGGGCTGAACGTTATTCGTTTTTCGGACGACGATAACGAACAGTTAATCGAATTCCTTAGCAATCATATGATCTGAAGAATTATTGGTTATAGTTATTTTTATTAAATGCAATATATGCTACCCACTAGTCACACTTTCAGTAGTCAGCTGAATTGTTTAACATGCTGCGTTTTGTTTTGTTGGAAAACATTTCTACGCTGCGTAATACGTTTTGCGCTATCACGTCGATGTGATCGGTTTTTGCGACTCAAAAAAACGCACTCCTAGGAAACATACCTTAAGGCTATACGTAAACTGACGTAATGTTCAAATGAATTTGAATAAAATTAATAATATTTTGATTAACAAAAACACAGTTTTGTCGCGTCCCGCGTAATCACACGGTAAAACACATCACAAGGAGGTTCCCATGTACATCAAAAACCACAACTATGGATAAGTTAGATTATTGAGCTCATGTGGTTATTACACTAGATATTGTAATAAGAAGTTGGAATATCGAAATCACAGGCGTGGACGAATAAAAGAGTTCACATAAACGTTTTTATGGGAAATTAAACTAAATTAAAATAAATAGTTGATCGAACGTTTATAAACGTTATAACACTAAACGTTAATCACGTTTTATGGGAAATTAAATTAAATTAAATTAAAATGAATAGTTAATCAAAAACCACATCCTGGGCATTTGCGTCAATAATTATGTCACGGCCTGGAGATAACGCACACACACTCATAATTAACAGGAAATTATCTTATTTAAAATATTTTATTATCTTATTCATTTACACACACACATTTGGGATTTTACACACACACATATAATATCACATATAAAAGGGACCCGAAAACAAGGGCAAATTAGACGAGTCTTGTCTATGCTGCACTGAGCACCTTCACGTCAGTGTATGTTATGATCTGGACTTAGAAATATTTCCAATTATTTTATAAGTTACAATTGTTAGGACTTAAATAATTTCTATCACTAGAATATTTACAGAATTTGTAGTTAGGATAATTTTTATAAGTTAAATAAATTTAATTATTTTAAAAATAAGTCTTAATTATTCCTGACTACACTTCCACTCAAGCGTTGACTGAGACGTTGTAACTGAATTAACGGATCAAACGGTTGGCACGTAACAGTTTATCATGTTCCGTGATGCCGAGAAAAGATAAAATATTATTTATTACGTTAAGTTTCAGTGATAAGCCAAGAAATAGGTTGGTTTAAAAATGACTTTTAATGGAGATAAGAACTGTCTAAGAATTAACAATATCTATTCATGAATTGGTTCTACGATTGAATATTGGAGAACAACTTTCCAAGCTTTTACAATCGAAGAATAAGGAGAACTACTAAAAATGTATCCAACCAAAATATACCTTCAAATCTCATAATGTAGCCTTTACAGACGGGTCTCCAACGTACAATAATATATTTACAATAATAACTGATTATGGATAAATAAATGCCGCAAATAGTTTTAACAGAAATTTACAGATGATTTAATCATTTAAATTTTTAATTTTTTTATTTATATTTTTCCGAAAGACTAGTAATAGTCTTTAATTTCCTTTATAACTAAATAGTCAAACAGAAAAAGATTATAGTATAACTTTGTAGTCTTGCTATCGCTGTTGTAGTTGCTGCAGAGTAGTTGTTACTTATTGCTGTTCCTACAGCATATTTTCCATTGTTATAGTATGAATATTCAAATAGAAATACACCAATTCACAAAGTATAAAATACATTTAGTCAGTATAAATAATGACAACAGCACGAGAAAATTAAGTACGAATATAACACCATGGACGAACGAAATGGTATATTATGTCTGGTGACGAACGTTATATCATCTAAATTTGAATTAAACATTAAAAAAATGCTAGATCATAAAATTTTCATTGTACATATCATATTCATTTTGAAATATTATGTATCTACTAGATTACTAGCTAGTGGAGTTCCTTATCTAAAGTATGTTAGTATATTGATAACATTCAACCTAATATAGTTAATTATTCACGTAATTCTGAATATTAAATATTTTGAATAAAATGTTTGATTATTTGTACCCGAATATGCTATAAAATGTATTCATATTCGTATTAATTTTAAGGGTCACAATAGTGAAAATATTGAGGATTGCTGTATTTGAGCTTAATATAAATATTATACATTCTAAAAGTTTTTATGGGAATCTCTCAAAAAATAATACGTATACTGATTGATAACATAGACAAAAATAAAAACCTTCAAGTGATAAAAAAAAAAAAAAAAATTGAATGAAAATATATTTCTGTAAAATTAATAAATTTTTATTTCGTTCAGAGTTTCAAGTCATTATAAATAAAAATGTTAAGATATTTTTCCGTTAACCAATGAAAATTAATAAAATATAATAAACCGGTACCAAATTTAAAAAATTAGACAATGGGTTTTTAAAATATAAGTTGATGTTTTAAAATAAAGGGCATAGAAATAATTTTACAATTTATATGAGCATTTTGTGGTAATCACGATATGCATATAAATTACACTTGTTATATGGAACTGAGCGTAAAAGCATATATAAAGCAATAGTAGTGATTAGCGGAAAATTAAAGTTGAACAGGTGGAAAGGAAAGTACAATGGCATTCATAATACAAGGCAAGAGACACGCGAAATAAAAACTAACCTGTCAGAGACGCTTGAAACTTGTTTATGATTAGGGCACGGATGTTGTTGCATTTGCAACTTTTCTTCTACCTTTTAAATTTATTGCTAAGTAAGTTTTAAATACGTTTCATATAAGTACGAATTCAAACATAAAAGTTTTAAGTGCAATTTTGAAATTTTTTTAATTTTAGTGCAATTTTGTTGAATTTACTCATTTATAGAACTATTTTAGCTGCAAGGGCGTCCGCAGGAATGTGTCAAGGGGGGGGGCAAGGTATTTTAATTTTTTAATTTTTGTTTCATTATCTGATTAGTGATAATGTACCTTATTGTTTTCGACGTGTTTTCTATCATATAAGTAGGGAACGTAAAAATTAAATTATTAATCATGTATATAATTAGAACATTAAAACTTAATCTTACAGTATTAATCTTAATTAATTAATGTGCAACTTTAAATTAACAAATGTAATTTTTTTATACAAATAAAATGTAATCATTGATTTGGTAATTTTAGATTACTTATAAAATTAAATGTTTCTAGCTTCTATAAAATAAATAAAAAACTATTTGAAAATAACTTATTTATTCTTTTAATTAAAAACTAACATAGCTTATACTGCTTAGAGCTATATTATAATATTATAGTAAATAACTTTGATTAAAATAAATTGTTAAAAAAATATGTATTAATACATAATAAACTATATAAATAATAAAAACTTTTAAATTTTAATATTCTAAAATAAAATACGAGTATATACGCTATAGGCCTATACATAATGAAATAAAAAAGAAACATCATAAAGATCAAACTTAATATACGTATTACCTCACACAACTTGGGGTTCTTAGAAAAAAATAATATAAAAATATTAACAAATAATTATAAATAATAACTATTCAATCATTGAATAAAAGTTCCATTCTGCGTGGTAGTAAACCAAATTCATTTATAATTTCTTCAATTAGTTCTAATTTATGATTTTTGATAAACTCTTTATGGACAGCTATTATGCATAAACCATTAAGTCGATTATCACCAATAGTATTTCTTGTCCAAGTTTTTACTCTATGTAGTGTACTAAAAGTTCTTTCTATTGAACAAGTAGTAACTGGCAAAGTTAATGCGATAGTTAGTGCAATATAAATTGCTGGATATAAATTTGCTTCATCTAATAGACTTATGAAACTTATATTTTTCATTTCACTTTGACTTGTGTTTCTATTTTTCCATACATTATACCATAATATACACTCCTCAACCAAATTATCAATTTCATAAAAATTATTTATTTCTACTATCATGTTTTTAAATTCATCATGTTGCTTTATTTTCATATTATTCGGATGTAAATTTAATAAGGAATGAGCAGCACTGTTTTCATTAGAAAATCTTAGTTTTAATTGCATTATTAAGGAATCTACATATGGTTGGTATAAGGAAACTCTAAAATAATCTTCAGGAGTATTTATTGGATGATTTAAACGATGCTTTTGGTTAAAAACAATACGAGGAATTTCAATTTCTTCTCCAAGCTCATTTGCAACATTTTGAGCCTTTTTAAAAATCTCATGAAAATAATTTTTCGCATCCAGGTTGTTAAAAACTTCAATGATTTCAGTAATATATTTTCTAGCTTGAGATAAATCTAACTGTATTGCTTGTAATGCATTCGTTATAGGTTCTAGTTGAGCAGAAAATTTTGCCATTATGAATAAACACACTATAAAATTTGATTTAGTTGCTGCACTGTGTAACTGAAATGCTTGACTTTTTGTTTGTGAATCAAAGCATGTTTCCATAGATATTATTTCTAATTGTTCAACTATTCCAACAAAATGTTCACTAAAAATTCTTATAGTTTTATATTTTTCTGACCATCTAGTCTCGCAAAATAAAGGGATTTTTTCTATTCTTTTTCTTCTTTTAGGACTTAACCTAAAAAATTTAATAATCGACTTGATAATTCCAGCACAATTTTGAATATGCTGAAGTTTATTCAAATCATTTATTACTAAATTTAGTCTATGTGATGAACAGTGTACAAATACAGCTTTAGGAAATTCATTTTTAATAATTGCTTGGACACCATTATGAATACCTGACATGGCACTACAACCATCATATCCTTGTCCTATTAAATTGTTTAAATTAAGACCAGAGTGTCTCAAAAAATGTATTATAGATTTTGCTACAGTTTTAGCATGCATATCTGTTAATGCAACAAAACCTAAAAATTCTTCTTTAACTACAGGGTTTTCTGATTCAAATGAGATATATCTTATGCCTATGGATAACTGTTCGGTACCAGAAATATCAGCAGTCTCATCAGCGAGTATAGAAAAAAATGATCGCGATTTCACTAAATAATTTGTTATTCTGCTCAAGATTATTTTTCCTGTAATATTAATTATTTCATTTTGAACTCTAGCTGAAATATATTTGGAATTTTTGGGGCTTGATTCTAAATGACTTTGTAAAATTTTATCACCAGCTTCAATTCTAAAGTTAATTAAAGAATTGAAATTTCCTTCATTTGATGTTTTTCCACGCAAAGCAATTTCTTGAGTACCACAAAATAGTATACTTGAAATAATAGGAAAAATTTTTTTCCTATTATTATCAATCAGTAACTTATGAGAAGTGTTAATTTTATCAAAACCAGTTGAAGCTTTGTTAGAAAAAACCTTAATAAAATTAACCGCATTTTCTGTGCATTGTAAGTGTGTCTTGGAAACTTTGTGTTTGCATGCTTTTTTGTGAAAATCTTTATACTTAATACATGGTTTTTTTTACAAACTGAATTTGTTTATAAGAATTACCATGACCACTAGATGAATGAAATAGAACACAGAACACACAAAATGGACCTTTCATTTTTTTGAGAATAAGATAACCATGGTGAATATGTACTTAACCATTCATACCGAAAACAACGAGCAACTGACGTACTATCTTTCTTGAAACTATACTTAATTTCTGGTGTCCAGATATTGGTTAATAGTTCATGTTTTGTTTTTTCATCAATAACTATTGTATATGGAAGATTAACAAAGTTCCCAATATCTAGTCTACTAAATCTATCATTACCTAAATTACTAGAATTCGATAAATTTGAATTAAATGACTTTAATGACGATGATGTCGTCGGTATCGAATGTAATTCTGTAACTGGTTGTTCTTCAAAAGAATTATTAAAAATATCATTACTTGATTTATCACTTGGTTCACCATTTTCATTATAAATCTTACAGGTTTGATTTTGCTCATCTTGACCATCTTGTTTAGAATTATTATTACCCTTTTTTTTAATATTAAAAATACTAAACATCATCAATTATGAAACTACTCACTAAGACACTAGGTATATTCATAAATTACATTAAAAGTTATAAAAGTTCAGCTGAGTATATGTTAATACGCTGAGTGCCACGGTATTTATGATGGGTATATCCTATATAGTTAGTTTCCATGCTAAAATTGACCCGCGACGCCACGCCGAAGGTCAATTATTTGTCGAGATAATATTATATTATTATCGGAAATAGCACCGCTGCGTTGTTCGACACATCGCCGTCACCGTCGTCGTTATTCGGAAAAAATAATTAATACCCACTAAAAATAGCTACGCAAAATCCAAATATACCAAAATTGATTAATGATTATAAATATTAAATACTTGTGGTATTTTAGTATTTATATTCAATGATACCAATGCAATCACGAGATCCTATTAAATATTTAATATTCACATATAATAGTCGAAACAGTGCATCGAAAACCGATGACATAATACACCCATAATAATCCACATAACATTTGTCGACTATGTGGCACTCAACGTTTCAAAAAATGTTTTTAAATTAAAAAATATTTATTTTATGATATTTTATACTACATAATGGTTAAGATAATTGATCCATGAAAAAGCCAAGGGGGGGGGGGCAAATGCCCCTACTTGCCCCCCCCCCCCCTTGCGGACGCCCTTGTTTAGCTGTAGTCGAAATTCAACAATTGTTTAAATAAAATTATACTTTAATATCTCCAGATATAAAATTAAATAAGTAGTATAGTATTTAGTAATAATGGTATCTCATCTTTATTTCAATAATATCAAGTCAGTTGGTATTCAATACAATACAAAAATAATTTGTGAAATGTGACTGATTTTGACAGTTATAATCCGTTCTCAGTCACACCGTGAATTTTAACCTATCGTGTTCTGTTATTGTTCTGTAAATATGCCAAAAATTAAGGCAACAATTTCCACTGTTTTAAAAAAATACGTATTAGAATTTGGCGACAATGTGTTTTCATGTGATGAATACGTATTTTTCTGTAAATTGTGCGGCACAAATGTAAATGCTGAACGGAGGTACACAGTTACACACCATATTGAAATTGCAAAGCTTCGAAGGGGGTTAATCGAAAAAATACCAGCAAAACGTCTATATCGCAACTTCAGGTAACAACATTTACAAAAAAATCATCATTTTCTAAAGACTTGTATAAAGCCAAGTTATCCGCTAATATTACGTTGCATAAAATTAATAACCCGAAATTTTGTTTATTTTTGGAAACATATATGAATAGAGATTGGAATAGACATTCTAAATGAATCTACGTTACGCAAAAATTACATAACTGAAGTGTACTCCGATACTTTAAATAAAATAAGAGACAATATAAAGGGAAATAAAATTTGGGTTTCCAATTAATAATTTATTAATTATTATTATAAAATGTAAAAAAATATTTTTTTGGTAGAATTAAAATAAAACGTCTATAAATTGTAACGAAATGTTGTTGTTTTTTAGTGCAATTTTTAATATTTTAAATGCTATTTTCGGTATATTTTAATGCAATACTGCAATCAATTTTACTAGTTTTGTACTACTACAACATCCGTGCCCTATTTATGATTAATGCAATCATAGTTTTCGCTTAGAACAGAATATGTGTAGACCTACCTTTTAATCCTCAATTTAAAAACACACAAACAAAACAAGGGTCGTAAATACGATTCTACAATGTATATTATACAATATATATATAACTTATTATGTCAAAATATTATTGCTGTTCTCACTTCTACAATATTTCATATGTTAAATATGTTTTTAATTTGTCTATATAAACATGGTTATCTTTTATCTATTATCTACATAATTATTATTAATGATTTCCATTTATCTCACCCTTGGTTTAAGATATATATCTTAAACCATGATTTCACCTAAATAAATTGAATATCAATTATCTGTTGTCTTATCTAGATGATTTATGGGTTATCTTTGTACAACACTGAAAGGTACAGATTACATATCATGCTCGTATTTACTTAGTCATACGTATAACACCTTTCGAGTGTGTTTAACCAAGAATATTTATAATCTATAATACTCGTAACTAACTATACACTTATATTGATAATATACAGAAAAATTGTACCATTATAGTATAATATTTTATTTTAAATAAAAAAGGAATTTATACCTTGGTTTTTGACAAAAAATTCATTTTTTGTTCTTGTGTCTGTGCTGTTTAGATGTTAAATATTGATTAGGAGCACTACTTTCTGAAACACAAAAAAAAAAAAAATAATAACAGATGAGAGTTAGTATGTATTGGTATATTGGTTTTGTTTATTTAGACATTTAGTAATATTCATATACCTCATGTATTAAAGATATTCACTAATCAACTAATATAGGATATATATATCGTGTTTGTAATTTATAAATACCACATTTATAAATAAACTGTAATATAATTATGTTTAAAAATTCTCCAAATCAAAAATTATTAACATTTAATAATAATTTATTTTCATAAAACACAAATGCATTTAGTAAAATGAACAATAATAAATTTATAACATTGGTATCGATATAAATTTTAAAATATATTAATTTCTTATTCAGAATTGTATTTCGTTGTTATTTTTCCTGAGGTATTTGATATAATGCATAAGTTCTTCTCATAGTTCTTCAAATTTTTACAGTCCATTTAGGACCATCGCTGCCTCAACCATATCTTTCCACCTATATCTGTCTTCACTATCTTCAATCCTTATTAATTCTTCTGAGATTTCCGTGAGATCCGTTTTCACTCTGTCCTCCCATCTTTGTCTTGGTCGACCCCTAGGTCTTTTACCGTTTAGTCTTCCAGTGAAAAGATTTTTTACAATACCTTCCGATCTCCAAATATGGCCCACCCATTCTAACCTTTTACTTTTTAGATACGAACTTATAATGGGTTTATTGAACATTTGGTACATTTCTTGGTTAGTTCTTCTTCTATATTCGCCATTCTCAATTACAGGGCCATAGATTCGACGTAGTACTTTTCTTTCAAATATGTTTAACTTCTCTTCATCTTCTTTAGTTACCGACCAGGTTTCACAACCATACGTCAAGACCGGTCGTAAAAAGCTGGAATATAAATATTCTTTTGACTTCCTGGACAAAAGTTTCGATTTAAACAATTTCGCAAATGCATAATACCCCTTGTTCCCTGATGCAATTCTCAATTTGATCTCGTTATGCATATTGTTACGGTTGTTTATATTAGTTCCTAGATACTTGAAATCTGTTACTTGTTGGAAAACATATCCATCCACTAGCATAACATCCAGAGCTATCTCTTCTCTTGATACTACTAGATATTTGGTCTTTTCTTGATTGACTTTTAATCCAATCGGTTCCACTGCTTTGATTAGGTCTACAGTCCTTATTTCCACATCGATTCAAGAACTACCTAACCTAATGCATAAGTAGTTAATAATAATTATTATTTAAAAAACACAAGTAAGTTAGAAGTATTTTACTGGAATATTATTCTCATTTTGTGTATTATAAAATAAATAGAATTAAATTTAATGTTAATCACAAACCGATCAAACGCTGCCATGAAGGCTTCGGTGGACAGATCCGTCACGAGCTCTAAGTGCACAGCCTTTACGGCAAAACACACAATTATCGCAATATAAACTTTATAATTACGCGATTTGCACAACCGCAATTCGTGCATTGATAACGAGCCCGCGTAGTCCACGCCCACTCGTGTAAAAGCTCGACATTGTTGTACGCACGTTGCAGGCAAATCGGCCATCAATGGTTGCGGGTTACGATCGTCAAAGCGTACACACACCGTACATTGTATCACTACGGTGTGGATGATCGATGGAAGAGACACAATCCAAAAATGCCGGCGGATCATCGCGGACATTACACGTTATTTTATGCTAGCGTCGGCAAATTAACGTCGATAAAAATGAGGTCTTTGATAACAATTTGGGGTGTTTACTTTCAAATGGTAAATCAGAATGTCTTAGTTGACCTCCTACGCGAAAGACTTCCTGGTCATCGACAAACGGGCATAGCCGAGTGAGCTGCTTCGAAGACATACGTTCATTCTTATGCAACTCGTCACAAAGTTCGGCGAACAAAAACTGTTGTGAATTGAGAAATTGAGAACAATGGCGCGTAATGTTTCATTGAGCTCTATTTGCTTGAGGATAGGTATCACCTCGGCAAGACGGCGCATCATGGCAACTACGCGGATCATATGATCGTACGATGAAAAGCGTGCAAATCACTCCGAAGGGGGTCTTCAAATTGTTAATAAGAGGTTGATAAGTCGGACTTCGGGCAAGTCGGAACACGTTAGACGATCCTTATCCCTCCCCAATTCATTTGGATGGTCCTTGATAAACTTCAGGCCGAGCCAATATAAATTAAATTGTGGTAATTCTGACGGCATCAGCCTGCGTGACGCACAGTCGGCGGGATTAGCGAGTGTCGACATGTATCGCCAATGACAATTTGGTAAAACGGATTGAATCTGATGCACGCAGTTCGACATGTACTATTTAAATGTTTTAAATGTTTTAAATGTTTCATGTGGAACAGTCAACCATGAAAGAACCACTAACGAATCTGTCCACGCGAAAGAGTCTAGAATGGTAACGCGATCTCCTAGAGCCATCTTTACACGATTCAACCATCGAATGAGCAACAAGGTAGCGTTCAACTCTAGCCGTGGCACCGTCAATACTTTCCTTGGAGCTAATTTAATTTTTGTACCAATAAGAAAGAGAGAGGAATCTCGTGGTGCGTCGAGTACGCGCAAGTAAGCCACAGCCGCGTACCGCCGTAACGACGCATCGCAGAAGCCGTATAAAAAACATGACGCACCCGGAGTGGTGTTGCAAAACCGCGGAACGCAAATGGTTGAAAGCTATGGCAATTCGGTCACGAATTGTGCCCAATCGGTGTGAATTTCGTATGGCTATGGGTCATCCCAGTCACATGCCACCTGCCATATACGTTGCATAATATGCTTAGCTAAAAAAATATCAGGAGCAAATAAACCCAATGGATCGATTAGGCCGTCAATGACAAGATACCACGTTTTGTGAATGTTGGTGACACCTCTAAACATAGTTCGCAACAAAAATAATCCTCATTTGTATACCAGTGTATACCAAGAACCTTTGTGTCTACGCTATCGTCGTCGGCGAATGACCTAGATTTTACGACGCAATGATCCGCAGGTACGTTCTGCAATAGAGCCGAGGTATTACTTGACCATTTACATAATTCGAGACCTGACCGCGCCAGTATTGACTTTAATTCCGATTGAACCACGACCGTATCAGTGATGGTGTCCGCCCCGTAGCAAATACGTTTGTTGACGTATGTTTGATAACGTAACGCATCGCGATCACATGGAAAAGACACGCCATCACTGTCAGCTATAGCGCGCAACACGCGGAGTGCTAGGAAAGGGGCGTAGTTTACACCATAAGTCACGGTATTAAGTTCATAATCAATCACTAGATCGAGCGTGGAGTCACGCCCCAATATGTGTTGATAAGCGCGGAACTCAGGTAGGATCAAAATTTGACGGTACATCTTATAGATGTCTGCCGTGAATGCGTGGTGAAATAAACAGAAACGGATCAAGATATCAACTATGTCACGCTGTAATTTGGGTCCGGGAAGCAATGCGCGATTTAACGACATACCCGTGGGACCTTTCGCAGACGCGTCAAAAACTACCCTAAATTTAATATCTGCACCGTCATTCTTACATATAGCATGGTGGGGGATATAATACTGTCCGGGGGTTGTTGCAACCGACATATGACCCAATGCGAGATATTCGGCCATGAAGTCTTTATGCAGCGACTTGAGTATAAGATCGGTGGTCAATTTACGTTCTAACGCCTCAAATCGCTTTATTGCCGACTCACGGGATCGAGCAAATGTATTGTCAGACACGGGTGCGTGGAAAGGTAATGACACGGAAAAACGACCCTATGGTAAACACACGTGTCCGTCTCGGAAAATTTGTTCTCATCGCCCGTCATCGGAAAAGGTTTCCGGAGCAACCTCAGGTTCTTCGACTCCCCAAAAGCAATGTATGAGTCCTTCTAGGGAGATAGTAAGGGACACCGGTAATGAATGTATTGATGCTAGTTCGCCCTCGGAAATTGATCCCATCAGAGTCCATCTGAAAATCGAACTGAAAGCGACGGGAAGATTTTCATCGACCATGATTTTGCGCCCGTCCATTACTGTCGCATATACGTCACCTCCCAACAATAAATCGACCGGAGCTGTAATGCGGAACGACGGATCGGCCAACGTTAAAGTCGAAAATCGATCTTTTATGTCTACAGGTAAAATATTCCTAGGGAGATCATTAGTAATTGATGGCAGCATCCACGCATGTACTGATAACACAGTTTCATTTGAATGTCACGGTTGTATTACGCAATCGACACGCCTCTGGACATCTGTAATTGGAACGCCAGACAACCCTGTCATGGGTGAAATCCATCGATCGCGTCGAAGTCCCAACCGATCGGCACATGCGGTAGTTATTACACTAATTTGTGATGCGCAATCAATTAATGCACGTAAAGTTTGCCAAGAACCCGCTCTATGCGGTACATGAATTAGCGCCGTTCCAAACAATAATGTATTAGAACCTTGTGGCGAGGGTGCAGACGCGCATAATACTGCATCTGACTGGGATGCCTCGCTTCTACTATGGGTAATATTCCCCGGTGGGTAAATGAGGGAATAATGTCTGAGGCTTCAGAGAAAACTCCTTGAAATCATTCCTGTCTTACAACATTATGATGTACTCAGTGTCGGTCTGACCCACTCGGATACCCGGTAATCGCCGGGAGCCCTGAGATTTATTCTTAAAATAAGAACGCCATCAGGGGCAGATTTACAGTTAGAGAACTGTGGGTCAGCTTATTTCAAGAGGCCACTTATTAGAGCTGAAAGTGGATTATAAATGTATTCCTTGTAACAAAAGAACAATATGATCATATAATATTTGTTTTCGAAGCTTATTCACAATTATCATTGTAAAAATGTATCTTATTTTATGGAATCATACATATGGTCTGGTATAGAGATGTTTTATTTTACTGTAACATTAAACTAGTGACGTAATTTGGGGGTGGTGGAAACTGGGGCATTTTCTAGTTTAGTTGTAACTTCAACTTATAGTCAGCACACTTGAAAAATATAAAAACCCTTCAGGATAGCTAATATTGTCAACAAATATTAATTGTGAGTCAGCTGACCTCCTGAACCTCTCCTAAATCTGTTCCTGGACTCGAAGCAACCATACTAATATGAAAAATCATAGTAATTATTTTCTATCCCATTCCAATAATAAATTTTTTTCCGGAGACCCAATCATGAGCCAGACCTACACTGAGTGTACCTTATCATGAGAACGAGAAAACATAAAATCCGATAACCGGGTTAAAAATTAATTTACTTTTTTTCTCTGGTTTAAGTGATCAAGAAAATCAGTTGTGTTATGTGAAACTAACCTAACCTGATGATACATTTTTGATTTAAAACCAGTCGTACATCAAAATAGTATAATACTCTAGGCAAAGAGTTTATTTATTTATATATATATATATGAACTATTTATTCATACATGTATTTACGAGTATTAATAATTTACTAATTTTTATTTTATTCTTATTATTTTATTATTTAATATTGCTAAACAGTTTAGTCTAGCTTGGATTCCAAGCTCTTATTTTCTTTGGCTGTTTATAAATTATCTATCTAGAACTAAATAACATTTTTGTTAATCGGTAAAACATTGGTAAGTTATTAAAAATGTAATTCATTGAATGGATGCATTTAAATTATCTTAATTGGTTGAGGCATGGAAAACTAAATTTACCAATAGTTTTCAAATTCGATGTATATTTTTTTTATCATACTCGCATATTATTTTAATGCTTAAGAGGCCCCCGAATTATTTGCCTCAGGCACTAAAAATCCTTTCGACGACTTGCGTAGAACAATAGGGGTTTCAGCCTTCCCCAAAATTCACCAGAGACTTTAAATAGTTTTCTTTATTATCAACTTTTTCTGAACCAACGATTAAATTTTGAATATGTAAAATGTAATAGCTACTTTGAACAAATATTTTTGCTATAATTAGAAATATCAAAAATCATTTCATTTACTGAATTAATTTTTATTTTCAGTTAATATAAAAGTAAAATTAGTCATATTCACCAAAATGGTTAAATCTTTTTCTTCCAATACAGTATGCAAAATTTGTATTTTTTTTCAAATTTACTAAGGCATTTTATTTATACTTGTTTAAATATAATCCATAATAATAATAAGTTAATGTAATTTAAATATTAAAAATCTACTTGTAAAATATTCAATACAATATTTGCACTTATGTATGGTATAATAGTTTTAATTCGAGTGGATTTTGGTATTTTATAAAATTATGATTTAAAATTATTTATGTTATAGGAAACTAAAATATTTTGAATATGTAACATACATAGTTAAAGTTTTCTTGTCAATCTAGTAAATTATAAAAGAATACATCATATAATCATTATAATTATTAAAACTAAACTTCGTTCAGGATGGTTTTCAAATACAACGGTTTGTCGTTTATTTGGAACAGAGACGCCGGAACCGGGGGGGGGGGGGGGGGGTGCCCCTTCGAAATTTTTTGTGGAGGGGCATAGAGTATGTTTCGCCTCTCCAAGTATAGGTACGAACTTAGTTGATACTTCATGTGGACAGCTTGGAGAAGAATTTGGACTGGGTAGGTATATATAGTATTTTCGGTAATAATAATAATCTATTATGATTATTATCTATTATAATCTATTATATTTTTATTATTAAATAATAGATTAAAGTAATTAAATACACCATGGGATTATCTGTTAACATAGTATTTCTGTCTATAAGTGAAAAATGGATTTGAAGATAAAACTACAGTGCCATATAGAATTTGTCCTCACTCGTCTGAGCTATTTATAATAAAGAAAAACAAATGTTAAAAACAAACGTGTTATCAACATTAATATTTATATTTTATTACGTTATACACTTATGCACCTTGTCTATTTTGGACAAAAGTATTGTTTTTATAGTATTGATACTGTCGTGTGTAGTGCGTATAGCTTATACCTAGGTAGTCAGTAGTCATTATTGCGTAATATTATTATATCATTATGATACGTGGTTCCTAGTTGCATGGCTTTTTGAGCGATTTTAAATTACTGATTTATTTACAACTACCTATTTATAAAGTTATTGAGTATTTTAAAATAACTTGAATTATCTTTTATCCTACCAGGAAAACTATAATTGTTATCTCGAAAAAAATATTTTAAATTAGTATGATAATAGTGGTTGATTAGAGACTACTCTCAGTTTGCCCCTCCAAAATATATTATGTTCCGGCGTCCCTGATTTGGGATGTATTAGTACTATTATCAAAGCTCTGATGTACAACATATCGACCTACTTAATGTTTAAACTGTTTCACTATCTGTGTTTGTATGTTCGTCAAAAGTTCATTATTATTGTCTGAGGAACGAACAAATTTTCAATTTATATAATTGTTTGATCTATATAATAAAGTATTTATTTAAAATAACTGAACATTTATAGAACCAAATAGTATTATACTTATTCATTAACTGTGCTATCGTGAATTCTATATTCGTATAAGTAGGTACATTATGTTTTAATATAATATTAAGTAAGAGTATTTATATTTATAAAATTACAAGGTACCTAAATTGAATGTAATAATTAATGTTGTTATGCGTTCATTAAATTTAAGAAAAAATTGTTTTTACCGAGAACGTTTTGACGTTTTGACGCTCACTGGTATTGATCTAAACAAAACATAACGTTCTACTGATAACTTAGAAGGAAAATAATTTTCCGACAATACACGGACCGAGTAGATAAACGTTAACACGTCAACATTAATAGACCGCAGAACGACACATCAACTAAAACACGGAGCGTACCTGTAGCTCTTACGTTTGCAGAACACCGACTAACATACAAGACCTATTGTCTATGGTTAGGTGTCCATAGTGATTACGTAATGTGTGATGCCGATATCAGAAGGGCGTGGTCGATAATGGTCGAAACTTGATAAAACCCGTTTTTATTCAATTGGCCGTGCTACATTTGTTCCGTAGTACGTCATTACTCCCAATGATCTGTTCGTTCCAAAATTAATTTACCGTAACTATATACCATATCCAAAGCCATCCTAAGAGTTTTTTAGGGTCCAGGGCAAATTAATTTGAGGAATCCTCAATCATCAAAATAATATACGAGTATTGTAATATGCCATACGTCACAAATATATATTGTATATAATATGTATATAATGATGTGCAGGAGAAGACGTATTTGTAGTGCTTCACATAATTAAAAATGTATTATTAGTTACTTATCATTGTTGAGAATTTATAGAAAAAAATTTAAATTGTTGATAATTTATCATAAGAATAAATTATGATTTATTAATTACTAAAGTAAAATACTAAATAAATATTAATTAATAAATTACTTTTCATTAATATTAGAAAATTAATAAAAAACTTAAACTTATTTTGAATAAACTCGAACCTTTTAAGGAGGTGCTTAAACATTTTCTGTGAGGGTTTAAATCTCTAGAGACCGTATTCTATAAAATATCAACCCATAGTTACAGTTAAACAACAGAGGTTTTAATTTTATTTCGTTATATAGGTATCCATTGAGTATTTTCATTAAATTCAATGTTAATTTTAAAAATTAAAGTACTTAAAATCATTTATTTTCTGATATTTTACATTTTAATATGACTTGATTTCAAGTGTCCAGAAATAAAAATTGTGATTGAAGATTTTGCAAAACCAAGTTAACCGTCAAAACAATAAATAATATTTTTATTATGACATGATATATTTTTTACTGCTATTCAGCAGGAATATTTTGCTATTTCGCTAGTATAATTTTTTTTTAGGACAGTATTAAATGAAAAATGTTTTAACTGTATTATTCAATGAATGACAATTAAAACTATAAATTATTTTTGATGCTATAAAAGTATAATAATTCAATTTAAATGTCCATCAACTTTTCTTATCAATCACGCCATAAATGTTTAACACAGTGTACTTGACATTAAAGGAAAATCTAGATTGAGTAAATCGACCTTTCATTGGCATATATTTATTTCTATTTTGACATAAAATATGTAGTATTTTATAGTCCATATGATTTAAAACTGATTATTCAATTATTTAAACTAACATTATGGTAGGAATAACTATATCTGACTTTTTATGTATTTGCTTATCAATACTTATGATTTATAAATTGTATATTATATTTATTGACTAAATAATATTTATCATAACTTATTTATACATATAATATTTAAATAAAAAAACTATTACAACTTAATTATATTTTTTCTAGATTTTTAATATTTGTATAAAAAAGTATAACGTATATCAATACTAATAGGTATAAATAAGTTAAAAATAAATTTAACTTTCAACCTTTCAACTTTAAGTTATAAGGAAATTATTAATTTTTATTGAAACAATATTGTTCATAAATTATATAAATGATTAAACTATTATTTTATACCAAAAAAAACTCGATGATACTTAAACATGGTTTGATTATTTATAGAACATTTTGATTATAATTTCTGTTAGCAAAAAAAATGTGCAAATCTTAAAAAAAAAAATTTAATAATTACAGAGATAATAAAAAGATAATTCTATAAACTTAAATTTAATAAAGTATTCAATAGTTAAATTATTATGGTTATTTACATTTTTCCAACCAAAAATCATATTAATTAATGATCAAGTTTATTATAAATTTGTAATACATTCTTGTACTTCATATAGTTATTTGAACGTTTATTATAGTATTAAAGATTAACTTTATAATAGTTACTAGTTGGAATAACTGTTACTAAATTTCATCAACCCAAACGGTGTGAATTTTAGTAATAAATCGAATACGGTATTTGTATAAGCTAAATTATACAAATTATAAAAATTATCATTATGTATAATTTAATTGTCCCTTTGTAACCTATATCTGTTTTATTAAATACTGTTAAATACGCAATCAATTAATAAATCTAATCACTATTACTATATGTTATATAACTACTGTAAAAAAACTGATATGAATTATATTAATGTTTGAATGTTGAAATAACAAAATATTCAAAAAATAAAAACAAATTAAGAAATTGTCAAATTATAGTATCAAATAGAAACTAGACGGATTAAATATTTACATACAATATTATAATAAAAACTATTTAATATTCATATTGACGCTCAGGGTAGGAAAGAGGGGTCCATCGTTTCCTCGTTGAAACACATTAAATTACCATAGCCATATTTACGATTGCACACACCAAAATTATTATTTTATTTTCTGAAATTTGATATTTTATATATTAAGTCCTCAATTTAATTATTTTATAAGAAAATATTACTTAGTGCCACCTAACCCATTATATCCTAATAAGGGTTTTAGCTATACAATTATTTCATGTAAAATACTATCTTGTGTACAATATAAAATACAACTAGATCAAAATATGAAAGAAATATATCCTATAAGGCTATAAATGTGTAAATCAAAAAAACCTATTTTAGTTTTCTAAGTTCTGATCAAAAAACATAGATTAAAAGATATAGGTGACAAAACTAAATATGTTAACTAAGTCTAAAACCCATATGGTGTTCATTAAGTTTTATTACCATTAAAAAATCTATTCTTAATTTTCTTTTGTATATTTAATTCAACTTTAGTAAATCATTTTTCCCGTCATGCTACTATTTATTTGATTTTAAATCACGGTTGCGTGTATGTAATAATTATAAGTAACTGCGTAGTTAGTAAGTCTATGAGCTAGTATAAGTACCTATTATACTACATGCAACATATTATATCACAATAATATTATTCGGCCTCGACCATGGCGTAAGTCTCAAGAAACTACCGAAGCGAAAAACAAAAATAACGCAGTAAGATATTACAGCTTACAATATAATGTAATATTATTGAATTTCGTCCATAAACCATAATTATGATTTTGCACTTCTTCTTTGTTAATTGTTATTATAGTATTTTTTTTAAATTTATTTAGTTAAAGTAGCTCATAGTTTAGCATCAGATATAAATTTATATGTTAAACAAAGAAGAAGAGCAAAATCATAAAATGCAATAATTATTATTGCATTCGATTTTTAGTAGTCACAATTACACTCACTAGCGTGTTACGTGTTGTTGGTTAAACAGTTTCTTAAGAAAATGTAAAGGATTTACGTAATAATATTCCCACCTTATAGTTGCAAGTAACAACAATAATAATATATTTATATATATTATACAGTAAACACTAAACCGTACATTAATGTACATCATATGCATATATATATAAATTAATCACCCATGCTATAACAATACCGTGTCGATTTAATGTCTGTTGGAAAATCACAAACCCCCAACCCCAAAATTTGTTTAACGGTGGCAAAATTTCACAGTGTACGTAATAATAATAATACTAATAATAATAATAATGAGTTAACAATTAAATTTGTGATAAATGAACGGTTTAATGAGTAGCGTGTAATAAAGGGTTAAAATATAATACACACACATATATATATATATATATATGTACGAATAAAATAGGCGTTCCGGTGAGAAAGAGTGCGGTAACGGTTTGGCGTTTATTGTCTGCTCGCGTGCAAACGTGTGGTAGGTAGTGGGTACATAATGATAATATTCGATCGTCGGTTTTGTTTATAACAGCACAACACCGTTCGCGGCACTCGTGTTCATCGTCGTCCCTGCACGTCGACGACAGTCGGCCGACTTTGTACCCGACAACAGCGGTGGCGAAGACTGCGGCACCGAATAGATAATTCGCAAAAAAGCCCGAGACAGAAACGGTGGATAATGCGTAACGGCGGTGGAGGTGGTGATGGTAGAACGTGTGCAAAAATTTGAATAGAAATGGCGAAGAAGCGAAAGCGCGACGGCGGTGCTGCAGTGAGAAATGGTTTCCTACGTCATACGTCACAAAGCGCCCGTTTTATGACGTCATCAATCTTGTTCCTAGTCGTACGCATCGATTTTAAGCGTATACAGCCGCCACCAACCACTACCGCCGTTAAACGTTTGAAAATTGCACCCGTTTCGTACATCATACATTATACACACGATTCGTGTCGCACATGACCTCTGCTTACGGGCACTTGTGAACGGCAAAGGCCCTACGGGAAATTCTGATCTAATGTTTCGCCCAAACTCGTATAATATGCTGATTGCTGCGGCGTTATACGGCTGAGCAAGCAGCTTAAAATGTACAATTATAAATATGCGATCGACAAGGTTGTATCATTTCTTATAGTATATAACAATCAAACATTATTCAGCGTAGTATTTTATGACCACATCTGGAAGATTTCCATAGTTCAGCGAATTATGGATGGATATACTTTTAAAATATACAGATATTTTAGATTTTTAGCTTCAAGATTATCGTTACAGTAATGTATAAATCATATATGTACACAGAGGTTTCGCAACCGTAAAAGTAGGTAGCTGACAATAAGTCAACGTGTCTTAACAAGTAAGAAGCACTCGTCCCAATCACTCAATAACTTTCTCCTCTATGGGCTCTGGAAGACAATGACAAATAATTAAAGTTATTATTATTGTATACTAAAATAAATGCATGCTTTGAATGTAAGAGCAAAAAATGATTTTCCCATAATCATTTTTTGGCACTAGCAACTCAAAAGAGCAAAACACTAATTTTGTCTCTGTCTGTTGGTGCCTATCATTCACTAAATATTCAAATAAATATGTGTGCCTCTATTTTTCCTATTTATGTTTTATTAAATATTATTTTAGTAAAATTTTGTTTCTTAAATGTAAATACGTCTGTTATACATTAATACCTATAACGGGAATTATTGTTTGCCTATTCAAAATAATTTTATAAAGTATTA